TCTGTCGCTTTACAAATTGCGTCAATTACTTCATCATCTTGTTTCTGATATTTAAACCATTTTAGTTTATCCTTTGGAATATTTCCTAGACTTCGCGTACTCCTAAAATTAATTCCCGGCTAGACCAGTCCTTCTGATCTCAGCATATCATCTACTAGCTTTTCGCCCGCGGCTTCGCCCGCGTGGAATTTTGTCTGTCACAGAAAAACTTTATCGCGCGCGTCCCTGTTTCAAAAACCGGGATAAAAACTATCCTATGTTCTTTCCCGGGACTCAAACTATCTCTATGCCAAATTTCATCAAAATCGGTTGCGAGGTTTAAGCGGGAAAGCGTAACAGACAGACAGACAGACAGACAGACAGAGTTACTTTCGCATTTATAATATTAGTTGGGATTCCACGAAGATGAATTGTAAGCGGAATGGAGACATATTGAGCAATTAGAGTACGATTTATTGCACGCCTTTAGGTGGACACTATTAATTGTTATTGCCACAGATTCTGCAGAGTAAATTTTGGTCCAGGAAGAGGTAGGTATATTGGATTATGCAAGTAATCCCCATTCATGATTCAAATCGAGAATTTGCAGTGTGAAATACATTCTCAAATGGTTGATTTTGGCTATATTCGTTAAAAATCGTATTATGATAAGAGGCGATCCGTCTTCCCTATTTAGATTGATTATATTCTTTGGAATGAACGAGAGATGACTTTATAAAGCACTTCATAATAATATGATGAGTTTTCAAGAGTATAGGTACTTTCTTTTTTAAAACCTCTTCTTGCAAATCGAAATTCGCAGGCAAAGGGAAAACAAAAACTGATCGCCCAAAGCAATACGGATAACGCACGCCCTTTATGAAGCTCCATAACAATGTGGTGTGTCATGCAGGGAGAGCAGCGATAAAAACCAGTCTGCAACAAATGAAACGCTTAGAGCCAAAGCACACGATGCGTTGCGGCGCCGCACTAAAGATTTCTCCATTACCCGCGACGCGGCGGCGCCGCACCGCTCGTGTGCCCGCCACAGAAATTTCTATGTACGACGACGCAGCGACACCGCTCCGGCGTCGCACCGCCGCCGCAACTCATCGTGTGCTTTGGGCCTCTGGTTCTTACGCAACACCATGGCATTTACCGCCAATTTCGTGCTTTCCTTTTTACTCATTTAACTTATCTCAAAAGCCTTTAAGACTTCAATTATACAGAAAGCAGGAGAAAATTCGCAACATTATTTGCAAAAGTTACATTAATTGCGCTTGTAGTTTACTAATTGGCTATTGTATTATGTTAAACAAGCCCGACTTAAAGAAAACATTATTAAATATTAGCGGATATTTACATGAAAACGTTGCGTTTTATCTGTTAATCTTATTACTAATAAAATAAAGTCGATTATACTTGCATTGTCTCTCAGTTGCTGGTATACTGTTTTTTTTTAGGAAATCTTTGATATCAGTTGATTCACGAACCATTGGCTTCGTCTTCCATGCAAAACATTTCCATTTTAAGACTCTAGTATTTTGTATCTTTGCAAGTAAGGACTTTAGGGTTTATTTGGAAGTAAAATTCTCCACCTGAAAGTTTGATATAATTCGAGAGCCGTAACATAAGGAATTCGGCGTAAAATCAACGGATTCCACTTCGGTCGTGCATTACACCCACTCTGATTCGAGCAGAATTAAACGTGCGGATTTACACTTTTGAAATGTATACGAGCTGTTAACGGCGGGAATCGGTGGCATTGTACGCATCTCTCTTTAGATTGAGGTATGCATGTTTTAAACACGTGTTTTCTTTAAGGGTAGTTAACATTTATTATTTAATCAATTTACATCAACGGAATATCTTCGTTACGTAACATGTTCATTGTCTTATTAAGCATGTTAATCGTTGTCTGAACTTGGATACATAAATCATCGATGTAAACGAGTACAAAAAGCCGGATCAATACAACAAAATTAGGTTGTACGAACTCTTTCTATCGAACATCTTTACCGCCAGAATTTCCCTTTGACATAAAAACACCGGCCTGTTTGATCCACAACAAATCTATTTCGACGGTTAAAAACACAAAGTTCGTGGAAGCTGACCCGGATTAGTTTAACTGCTGCGGAATTTTAAATAAACCGTCAAAATTAAAAGCCATTTTGTTTAAAGGGGCTCATATTGAAATAGCAGCGTGGACATTTAGTATTGGATTGATACAAATTAAGAACTCGTAATTGTTAATTTTGGACAGAAACAGTGACATAGGTAGCTTTTCAATCTTAAACCTCTCCTGGGACAGACGTAAGGGAATATTTGGACACAAAAGATAGGTCTGCAGGCCTAACTATAATGGTACTTGCTGGACGTAAGAACATTCTTATCTGACGGGTGAAGGACAGAAAAGGACAAAATTAGTGAAGAAGAATATTGTAAACTCAAAGCATTAAACTTCCTGACCTCTCTATACTAGATGAGCCAAATATTGGAAGTCCTTACATTATATTACCTCTATTTCATGAGACTAGTAAAAGACTTTTTATCTGTCAGGGACCAAGTGGATAACCTTCCAAGATATTGCAATAAAGCAGTCATTTTATTTTTGCGCAAAAATATTATTAATCTTCATACAATCCGTAGATAAAAACATCGTTCGTCTGATCCCGCTATAAACGTAGTCGTTTAAAGTTTGATCATTAATAAGGGGCCATCCATAAAGTACGTCACACGAATTTCATGATTTTTTGACCCCCCCTCCGTCCTTGTCACAGGTGGTCACATTTCTGAGACCCCCCCCTCCCTAGTGTGACGTCACATGTTTTGCAATTTCACATCGAAAAAATATTAAATTAACAGCAGTTCCGAAATTAGTTTTATTTCCATTTAAATTAAGTATTTTTTTATATGAAATCAACATTATATCAAATATTTGAAACAATTGAAATGTGATGTCACGAAACTTAGGACCCCCTNCACATCGAAAAAATATTAAATTAACAGCAGTTCCGAAATTAGTTTTATTTCCATTTAAATTAAGTATTTTTTTATATGAAATCAACATTATATCAAATATTTGAAACAATTGAAATGTGATGTCACGAAACTTAGGACCCCCTCCCACCCCTTGTCACACCATGTCACACTTTGCTAACCCCCTCCCCCCCTCTTTACGTGTGACGTACTTTATGGATGACCCCTAAAAGCGCGAAAACAACCGGCGAAAAGCGCGCCAAAAATAACTGTTGCCATAGACAATTTCTCAACTCTTTGTTTTTCCTATGGTTTCTTATCTCCTGGTTAATGGAAGAAAGTGTCAAGTTTCGTAAGCTTAATTGGGGCGCGTATATTTAGAAATTTGACTATTTGCCGGTATTTTCGGCTCGGCCACACTATAAGCAAGTACAGTAAGTTTTCTCCCTACTCTACTTATAACCATAACCCATATTTTGTGATTACAATAAAATTTCCCCTGGTTCTGGTATTTTCTCTGCCATTAAACTTGGCTAGGACTCTCTAAACAAAAAATGGCTAACGACGACGCACGCATTACATAGGGCCATAGAACTGATTAGGTCAAGTAAACCACAAAGGGTAAAGAACCGAAAACATCAAAATTATGATGTTTTCAAAGTCCTGGAAAATTATGGTACAACATAAATATCGCCAATAGTGACCCAATTAATTTCCTTCCTTTCTTTTACGTTCACATAAGGTTTCTTTTACATTGACACTTGAAGACAACACTACTGCAGCTACTTTCACTGTGGCACGGACAAACCCACAGCCGCTACTGTTACGTTTTTAATGCGTTTGTTGTTTATTGTTGCAGTGTAAAATGAAACTGTACAAAGAGCTCTTTGAAGGGATTATCATAGGATACAATTCTCACTACTCATTTGTAGTTCTTCGAAATCCCATGTCTGAACTTCAAGAAAAAATAATATGTAACCTAAACTTCTGGTACCTAACCGGTTTGATTAGGGGCGCAGGAATCATCAGGACAGGACCGGTCGTTGTGGAAATTCTTAAGGGGAATACCTTTGTCCAGCAGTGGACGTCTTTTTTATCCACAACGAGGAAGCTCTTGGCCTACCTGCATCTCACCTAATGGAAAGTAATGATCAGGCCGAAGGTGAAAGCGAGCTTCACCCGGAATCCACAACCATACTGGATATCATGCCTCTACCTGTCGGAACACAACAAAGCTATTAACAATGTTGTTATGGCAACAGGCTTAAGTAAGATGGTGGTAGCTAGCCAGGCGGACTTAGAACAAGCACTACCACCAACCGTTTGGCTAAAATAATGAACTGAGACAGAAGTCTCACAGCACAGAACTGCTAGTATCTTTTCAATTTATGAACGATCAAACAGTTCTTTCTGCACGTGGAAGATGAAAAATATACGTAAACTGTACATCTCTGTCACCTCTATTATAGTTGTGATATTTTTATAAAGGCCAGTGAACTGTGAAATGACGTTATCACAGACTAATAGACGTTACCTCGATTAAGAGTAAGGACGGACATAAAACAACGTCGCAATGAAAGTCCGAATGTAATTAATTTAATTTAAATTAGATACTTGTTAATTAAATGAAGCTGTTAGCTGCAGGTGAGATCCGGAAGGCAGATATTTGAAGCTGTGTCCAGCAGGGGCTGATTTAGCAGTATTGTAATTCATGAAAATATCCCAAGATGTGTCTCTGGTACTGAATATTCTTGGCTGCATTCCGCCACAGTGCAGCAGTGCAACTAAGACCATAGATCTCTTAATTTACTTAAACGTTGACCTTGAAAGTAGATTGCTCGCTTCCCGAATTCTCCTTCCGATTCCTCGAAATCCCAATCAGGGACTCTGAGACTTGGGAAGCTGACAAATCAAACTATAGCCACCTACGCATATTCCTCACCACGCAAACATCGGTACCAGTCACTATTACGCGATCCGTCCAGTGATTCACATGAAGACACGCGGCAGGTATAAAAAGAATGGGCACTTCTAAAATAGATATTGAGTTGCAGTCCTCCTGAAAGGTCGCATCGCTTGTAAATAGGACAGTAGACGTATTTAGACGCGTTATTACGCAAAATGGTTGCAACTAAGCCTTTTTCATTTGGTAAGTGCCAATTAGGGAATCTGATTCTTGCTTTAACTGTCGTGTGAAAAAAATTTTTACTTTTCTGACGAAGTTGACTATGGCGTTTTTCGAGATTAACTTCCAAAGTTCAAATAAACCCTAGCTTAGAGACGACTTAGGTAGGTATAAATCGTTTCATCCACGAATACGCGCCCCACCAATTTTTGGTCGAGGGAAGAGCGGGGTGCGGGGAGTTTGATCCGAGCAATCCGAGCGTCATTATTGTAGTGTGCGTCTGCACTCATGGATGATTTAGCGTGTACCGATAACACTCAAAATAATGGTGGAGCGCGTCTTCGTGGATGAAACGATCTATACTGGTGAGCTACCAATAAACTCACAAAATGCGTCAAATAGAAGCAAAGAAAAACAATCCTCTACTCGAATGAAAATCTTATTTTTTTACGAAAGTTAAATGCTGAATTTTCTTTGCCAATTGTCAGCAGGGCCAAGAAACGACCATAATTTAGTTAAATACACCTTGTACTGCTATCAGGGAATGTCAAAACAGTTGTTTTGATATGCTCGCCGAAGCACAAAGCAGGCTAATGATAGGTCTGTTTGTTGCTAATTTTATTGCTTGTTGCTTTGGAAAATGGGATATTTTAAAAGTAAACTAGGTAATATCCCTTAACCGTTTACATATCAGCACATCCAATTTAGCTAAAGTTTTTGTGGTAAGAGAAGATGAAAATGAAGAATGTTTATGTACGGAAACGCTTAGCTAGCCACATATACTTGCTTCTATCTAAGGGCTATATTTCACCGGGACACCATGGCGGCGCAACCAGTCGCCGCTACCAACAAAATGTATACAGCTTTGCCCAACCAAACGGACACCAGGTGAATAACTCTCTATAGAGCTGTATACATTTTGTTGGTAGCGGCTACTGGTAGCGCCGCCATGGTGTTCCAGTGAAATATGGCCCTAAGATACCTACTAGTAATATTATAGATATTAAAACAAACACTGTAATTTCAATTAGCCTGCATCTGATGTAGTCTTATGTATTTCACTAAGTTCATAATCAAAAACTCGTACGCACAATAAATAAAGTGCAGGTAGGTATACCTAATGTGTTTTTGTGCTTTTTTCCTATTACGCGGGTTATACGCACGCGGCACGGAAAAACATGACGTATGAAATAACGAAATGGTGACCAAATTCGCACGCGTGCTTAAATCCGCATCACAGGAAAATGGCACTTACTCCATACTGATCTCTGAAATCATCAACATAATTAGCACAACTTGCATAATCTTGCAGAGAACAAAATAATGGCGATGGCTACCGCGACAGCCACGATGGAGGCTTCCCAGAGCCTCATCCAGACGGAGTCCAGGGTCCAGCACAGTTACCAAGAAGTGCATGTGTCTGAGACGCGGCAGGTCAAGAAGAAGAAGTCCATGAGAAGGCATAAGGATGAAGGGTCCATATCAGTTGTAAGTATCAATGCTTTTAACCTTTAACTCTTTGATATACTGATTTGTAAAGAATCCGCCGTGAAGGACAAAGACCTTTGAACTTTATTCCTAGACAGACCCCCTTTAAGTTCATTAAGTTTGCTGGGAAGCAAGATTTTTTTAAGACTAACAGTAATAAAAAGTGAAAATAGTAATGAAATAGTGTGATTACTGGCTACAGTCGTAGACCTGCATTTAGATTTGTGACATCGTGTAGCAATTTTTTTTATTTAGGTACTCTCATAGATAATTGTAACCGGTGCCGATGGCCATTCATTGTAGGCACCATTGTGAATCACAGAGAGAGGTGATTCAGTACAATTTTCATCATTGGAGGATTTGGCATACACTGGTCAGACGGCTTGGGTAGACTTAGAACCTGTGTCCTCCGTAAACTGTTCTGCATTCTGCAAGAACTTATAGGCTGGTTTTAGTGTCACGCGGACTGTCAGTGCGGATCGCTTCGCACAGCCGATCTGTATGAACTGCTAGGGAGCAGAGCGGTTCCTCCGGACCGCATTACTCTAACACGCTCCCTAGAAGTTCATACAGATTGGCCGTGCGGAGCGGGTCCGCACCGAACGGTCCGCGTGACACTAAAACCAGCCATAGTGGCTTCTCATTATTTTGTAACTGAGTTCTCGTTTTCTTCTATTCCAGTCAAAAAGCTCAGAGAAACTCCACAAGAAGATGAAGGCATCTTCAGAGCCGGATTCCAACCCGCAGTGCCAGAAGTGCTCGCGGCCTGTGTACGCCATGGAGCGCGTGAAGGCCGAGCGCCGCGTGTGGCACAAGGAGTGCTTCCGATGTGTGCAGTGTAATAAGCAGCTCACGTGAGTCATCATCATCATCATTTCAGCCTCAGGACGTCCACTGCTGAACATAGGCCTCCCCCAATGACTTCCACATCGCACGGTTGGAAGCTACCTTTATCAGGACGTCGGTCCACCTTATGGGTGGAGTATCTTGTTTGCATCAGCCTTCCTAACTAACTTTCCCCGGAACAAACTTGACCTTGACCTTCACTCGTTGGGTTTTTATTGGCGGTCAAGCTGTAGATCCTGGCTACACAGGAACTGCAACGGTGGGAATGAGAGGTGGGAATAGTCCCTTCCTAGACAAAATGACAGATCGCAAATTCGCAATCGCTTCTTCATAAATAAAGAAGCGAAGCTATTTCGGAATAATAACTGTCACGCATGTTCCTTTGTTTAGGGAGGCTCAAGCTTATGCTAGTTTATGAGTTGCCAAGAGCGAATGATGTAAGTTGATCACGTCGACAGCTTTTCTTATTAGCCTATCTGGTTTACTTCGCCTCTTTGACCACAAAATGTATTTTCACCATTTTTCAAGCAAGTCATCTATGTTAAAAAAGAAACTGTCATCAACTAGGAAGGGTTTTTAAATGGAGATAACACAGGGATGATCACTTAAGCCATGTAGTAATATTTGGTTCTAGACTACACCAAAATCATTTACGCCCGTATTCACTAACATTACTATGAGGTCTCACAGTGCACGTGAACGCACAGGGTGACACAAGAACCAATCACAGAGCTCTATTCAACGCTGTGCGTTCGATTTGCTGCTTCACTTATAAATACGGGCGTTATTCTCTTACCTACACGTTTTTGGACTCGTGCAAGGTTCCATACTGGGCCCAATGCTTTAAAACATCCTATACCTAAAATATTTACATTAAAATGCATTCTTTGCAGAGTGGAGACTTACCAGAGCGACCACACCACGCTGTACTGCAAGCCGCATTTCAAGCAGCTGTTCGAGCCCAAGCCTGTTGATGGTGACGATGAGACAGATGGTAAATGAATATTTGTTTTAAATTAATTTTATGATAGCAAAGAAAACTCTTATTAAGATACATTTCTTCCAAAGCCGAGTGTTATAAATCGCACAATAAATAATGGTAAAAGCAGTATTGATTATTCACGGATTTCTTAGATATACATTTTCCTGTTTCTCTCAGTTTCATGATAGCATTCTGATCAAAGAATTCACACGTCAAATCGCTTGATACTCGATTACCCAATTTTATTAGCTGGCAGGGTGGAGAAATGAGTATGGAAAACAGCGCATCAAGCTTCCCACTGTACATACCAATCACATAACACACTTACAAAGTACTAATAGGGGCAGATTTTCTACAAAAATATAGCCTATAATTTATTGAACAAAATTATTATTAATTTATTATGCGTTGCGTTGGGGTAGGACGTGAAATTATTATCAGATACTGGATAGGCAGTATAGTATAGCAAATATTTTAAATTATCGCCCCATTGCTATACTACCTTCAATCTCTAAGATCTTAGAAAGACTTATCTACAACAGACTTGTCAAATACCTAGAGAACAACAGACTTCTAGCAGACACCTAATATGGCTTGAGATCTAACAGGTCAACCGAATCAATGAATTTATTTTTTGTAGCTACCGTCCCAAAGAAGCATCAGATGATCATCTGCGAGAGCAACCCAGTCGAGTTACCGCCGGACGTCGTGAGAGGTGTGTATTCTTCTTTTTAAATAGTACAAATTATGCTTGTTTGTAACCGTTGTACCCAAAAGCAGTATCGTTGCCCAAAAAGCTGATGTTGATTGAAATCCGAGTATCTTAAAGATTTATGTTTAGAACACTTTAAAAATGTAAGATTATAAATGAAAGTAATGCTATTTGCCCGTTATACTTTACTACGCACGGTGGACTTTGAATAGCAAACGATGGTGAGATTTAGGTATTAAATAATCCGGCTCGAAGGACTATTTGTAACCGATAGATATAACATATCCCCCTAAATAAATACAAACATATTTTTTGTTTAGCCACAGCCAGAATTTAGAACAAAAGCACACGATGCGGCGCCGCACCGCAGCGTTTCCGTCATGCGCCCGCCACATCTTTTTTTATTTTTTTAATAAAAGATTATATTTTATTATTATACAAATTAAAATTACAAATAGTCTCGTTAGCCCCTCGTACTAAGCTAATTATGCTTATATCACGAGTGAACTCACCACAATAGTCGAGCGGCGGCGGGGACCGAACCCGCGTTCTCCGGATCACGAGTCGGCCAGTCCGAGTCCGATTTCTATGTAACATAAGGCAGGACTCCCTCATGCGTTGCACCGCCGCCGCAACGCATCGTGTGCTGACTCAGAATCAGTCGCAATATACAGTGTGAGTCACGTTAAAGTGTACATATGAAAATAGATGAAACTAGACCTATTTTTATCGACAAAAAAGGTCAAAAAAAAATTGAGATTTATTTTTATTTTTATAGATTGTTTTTTCTTCCAATTACTTATTGTAAAGAAAACGCAATAACTTTTAAACCAAGCGGTATATCCGGATAAAATAAAAACAGTAATAATGCTAAATAACAGGCGATACTAAAAAAATACATAAAATACACAAAAAAGGCCAACAAATAATAAAAAATGATACTCTTTAAAAAAAATCTGCTTTTAAATTCGTGTTTTTTTGGTTATTTGATAAATTTCTCCAAAAAATGCCCCTATAACCTGTGGTTTTTATTACTTTGTATTATTTGCTATCGTATTACCTTCGTAAAACCAAATCGCATGTCTCTATCCCTATCACAACATTTGCTATGATCGTTTGAACAAAGGCCTGCCACAACATTATTATCCGCTACAGGTAGAGACAATTTTAATTTTAACTAAAATGCTTATTTTACTTCGAAATCTTTGGTTTTTATTTGAAATCTAACTTGTCTTTATCAAAATTACAAATCTAGAGCCATTTTCAGTTTCGTTGTTAACGAAGCGTTGAATGGCGCTCCCAGAGAGGCTTAGTTCAAACGATCATAGCAAATGTTGTGATAGGGATAGAGACATGCGATTTTTGGTTTTACGAAGGTAATACGATAGAGAATAATACAAAGTAATAAAAACCACCTATTATAGGGGCATTTTCTTTAGAAATTTATCAAATAACCCAAAAAAATACGAATTTTTAAGCAGATTTTTTTCAAAAAGTATCATTTTTTATTATTTGTTGGCACATTCTGGGTATTTTATGTATTTTTTCAGTATCGCCTGTTATTTAGCATTATTACTGTTTTTATTTTATCAGGATATACCTCTTAGTTTAAAAGTTATTACGTTTTCTTTACGAAAAGTAATTGGAAGAAAAAAAATTCTATAAAAAAATAAAAAAAAAACTCAAAAAATTTTTGACCTCTTTTTTGTCGATAAAAATAGGTCTAGTTTCTATTTTCATATGTACACTTTAACGTGACTCACACTGTATTTTAACAAAAATATCGTTCCTCCAGCATCAGACAAGCCGGACCTAGGTCTCCAAGAACTCTCGCAACTGGATGTGAAGTCCCGCTTTGAGGTTTTCGAGCGCGCCGCCAAAGGCCCCGAAGAGCCCGTCACACCGGAACCCCGCGCGCCCCGCGAGAGAAGCACCGCGCTGCTGTCCAAGCTGGCCAAGTAAGTTATTTTCATCATCATCATCACCAGATGATAAATATGAGGTTTCTGTGATCTAGAAAATTCCTGGAGAGAGGCACCAAACTGCAGTCCAAGCTATTAAATAAGTAATTTTTATCATCATCATCATCACCACTAGATATAAGGTATTATCACCATCAAGATTCCGTGATCTACTGGTTTAGGAGAGAGGCATCGCGGTGCTCTAAGCTAGTCGAGTAAGTCATCAATTGATGATGATGATGATGATGATGATGATGATGATGATGATGAAGTTTCTGTGCTCTATAATCTCTGGTGAGAGGTATTGCGCTGCTGTTTTAGTTAGCCATGCCAGTCATCACTGAAATTATCGTCATTATCATCATCATCCGTGCCTGAAGTTTATAAGAATAAATACCTAGGTCCCAGAAAGGAGGAGGCACTGCGTTACTCTCTAAGCTAGCCAAGTAAGTTGTTATCATTATCATCATCACCAGCAAGCTTATAGTCTAGTGCTAAGTTACCTCCCAACTGGGCGTGAAGTCCCGCTTTGAGGTTTTCGAGCGCGCCGCCAAGGGCGCCGAGGAACCCGTCACACCGGAGCCCCGCGCGCCCCGCGAGAGAAGCACCGCTCTACTCTCTAAGCTAGCCAAGTGAGCTATCATCATCATCATCATCGTCACCAGTCACCAGATGATCACTTAAGCGTCCGTGATCAAGGAAAGTCTCGTGAGGCCTTATGATGCTCTTTGAGATAGCCAAGTGAGTCATCACCGTCATAATCCACGCCACTACTAGACTTGGTGATGTGATGATGACCTCATCATCACATCACCAAGTCTAGTAGTGGCAAGGGCCCCGAAGAGCCCGTCACGCCGGAGCCCCGCGCGCCCCGCGAGAGAAGCACCGCTCTGCTGTCCAATCTTGCCAAGTAAGTCTTCAACTGATGATGATGATGATGATGAAGCTTCTGTGATCGGGTGAGAGGCATTGCGCTGCTGTTTTAGTTAGCCATGCCTGTCATCACCGAAATTATCGTCGTCATTATACAAGTGCCAAGTGAGTCATCACCAATATCATCATCATTACCACCAGATGATAAATACCTTGGAGCTTCCGTGATCTAGGAAATTCCTGAGAAAGAGGATCTCATCTCTTTGATGCCAAGTAAGTCATCATCATCATACCACCTTCATCATCATCCTAAAAATGTCGGCATTGTTGTCCAAGCTAGTCGGTTTAATTTGAGGTGACGGCGCTGCTATTTTAGCTAGCCATGTAAGTCATCGTCATCATCATCACCAGATCATAGATATTATCCTCAGCTGCCGCTTTTATTTGAGAGGACGACGTATTTTAGCTAGCCAACCGTGTCTGTCTGTAGTTTATTAGAATGAATAGGTCCCAGAAAGGAGGCACTGCGTTACGCTCTAAGCTAGCCAAGTAAGTTATTTTCATCATCATCACCCATATGGTAAAATTTATCACCACGCAGCACGCTTATCATCTGATGCTGCTGGTTTAGTTTGAGAGAAAGACGGCGTAAATGTTCTAGCTTATCACCAAGTAAGTCACTTTTTTTTTTTTTTTTTTATCATTTCTAGATAAAGTCCGGTCGCCGAGCACATAGAATTTCGTCCAATGACCCCAAGCTATCCATCCTTATCGCTCGCGCGTAATTATATTGCTGTCGCGACTGTGCGTTGGGCGGCAGCAGTATAATTACGCGCGAGCGGACTATAGCATCTTCATCATCATCCCATTTAGCTTCATGAAGCTTTCGTGATCTGTTGAGAAAAGTTCCTGGAGAAAAGCATTGCACTGCTTCTGTCCAAACTGGCCAAGTCGGTAACCATTAACATCATTATCATCACCATCTATCTTCATCTCGCTTCCGTGACCTACAAAAGACCTAAGAGAGAACCAAGCTAGCTAGGGATAGGCTTCAGGGATATAGCAACAAAGTAACTAAGGAACTGCTAAACTTCAAAAGATACAAAGCCTGTGCAGTGACTAGAATACTAACCGGCCACTGCAAACTAAACAAACACAAATCAAACATGAACATGACCGAGGAAACTCTGTGCAGATTCTGCCATACAGAAGAAGAAACGGCCATGCATGTTCTTTGCTCATGCGGCCCGTTTATGAGCAAAAGAAGTATCCATCTCGGGCGACACATCATGCACCCGGATGAGATAGCAGATATCACGCTCCAAAGAATCTGGAAATTTATAGACTCAACGGGACTAAGCAGTGAACTCTAAAGAAAAGGGCTGCCACAATAGATCAAACCTGGTCGAGCTGGCGCGGCTGTTAGCTAGCCAAATGAGTCATCATCACTGTCGTCATCAAGACCAAGCTTGGTATTCCCCTCTCTCCGAGCCGACGGCTCTGCTGTCCAAGTTAGCTAAGTAAGTCTTCACCGTTCATCATCATCACATCACCAAGTCTAGTAGTGACAAGGGCCCTGACGACCCCTCACGTCCGAGTCTCGCGAGAGGAGCACCGCTCTGCTGTCCAACTGGCCAAGTAAGTCATCAACTGGTGATGAAAATGATGATGATCAAGTTTCTGTGATCTAAAAAGTCAGACATGCAAGCTTGGGCTACCTTATACTACTCTCTAAGGTAGCCCAAGTAAGTCATCACCACCATCATCATCACTTATGAGAGAAATGAGAGAATCTATATGATGTAATTGAATGTAATGTTAATAAAGAGTGATCCTACTGACTTACCACTTGACAAAATCTATTTGCACATCTGTGTGCAGGTTGAATACTTGTACACATTTTTTGTAAGAACTTTATAACCTGTATTCTGGAAAATAAACGCTTTTAACTTATCTTATACAGGGTGGAAACGATAAGTGATCTCACTCGATTATTTCTAAACTACACAAGATATTAAAAAACTGGTTACTGATCCTGAAAGAGCTTTACGAGCTCTTTCTAACGGTATCAGTAATAGGTTACAGAATTAACTTGATCTATCCGAAAATTCAATGTTTTCAGCCTCCATACTAAATGTATGCCAGCCACACAATATGAAGTGTAATTTTTTTAAATTAAATAATAAACACTTAAATGAACTCGTAAATTGCATTCTTGTTTAAAATTATTCATGAAAAATATTGGTTCTAGGCTTTACTTGCTATAATATTATCAAGACATGAGGGCCATGATTGTGGCAGTACTAAATGTATGGAAGTTGGAAACATTGAATTTTCGGATAGATCCAGTTTATTTTGTAACCTATTATTGGTAACGTTGGATAGAGCTCGTGAAGCACTTTAAGGATCAGTAACCAATTTTTCGATATCTTGCATAGTTTAGAAATAATCGAGTGAGATCACTTATCGTTTCCACCCTGTATGTCGAGAAAAAGCCAAAAAGTGTACCTTTTGTTAGGGTTATTTACAACAAATTGAAGCAAACCAAAAACACAAATAATACAATAAAGACATTTTAATTAAAGATTAATTCTATGCACCTTATTTTCAACAGTTACAAATCTGTTCTACCACTGGCACTAAATATTTAATTAAAGATTAATTAAATGTAGGTATCTTATTTTCAACAGTTACAAATCTGTTCTACTGTAACTAATACTCTTAACTATTGTAACACTACGTTTCAATGTCACCGTCGAAGGCAATGCTCTCTTCGTACAATAATAGATAGCTTCAAATATAACATTTCTATCTACTATTCCTAGAAAGTCAATCGCACTCGATCCATCGTAACAAGTAGCATTTCCTGTGTGGTATAAAGTATTTCTGTTTATAAAAAACTCTGTCTTTTTGTGAGATATTGACTTTTTATTACAAGCTCATTCACGTCTGTCCAGGATCGTGACAATATGTTATAGTGCGTCCAAGTTAAATTGATACTTGAATAAATCTTATTATCTTATTCAATAAACTTTTTAAGACGAAAAAACTTATTGGTTTCAAATGTGCTTGATCTATTGAATATAATATGGAAGATAATCTGTTTTCCTTTATTCAAATGTACAATGAAAACTATACTCAATACGTTTATTGCTTCCTTAATAGTTTAGTGAGATATTATGTCGGTAGTTGTAATTGTAATAGATGCTATTTACGATAATGAGACACTAAAGCAGACATGACAAACAAAACTTGGACAAATGCCAACTAAAGTAAATAGGTGTTATTATTTAAAAGTAAATATTACATGTGACTTGACGCTCGTTTAATTTGTACTAGCTAATACATTTGGTATAGCCTGACCAGGAACATAAAAACCCTGGCATAGAGGCGCGTCAATTGCATTTGATAGTGCAACACTGAGTACAGTCGTACCTGTGTTAAATTAATAGGCTAAATTTATGTATCAGGATTCAGGATTACGGGCTAATTTGATATTTTCATAAATTAACGAAAAAATATTATTAAAGGTAACCTGGTTTAAATAAATTAAATGAAATCATCAATCGAGCTAGTAGGATTTATTTTATTATTCATCAATAATCAAATTCAGAACTTGAATATTCAACTGCAATGTCTGCTCATGAACGCTTCAAACTCGGTACTTCTTTCCCAATTCCATAAAATTCAAAACTGAGAAAGTGACAAAAAACTTTAAAATAGGTAGTTGAAACAAACTACAGCTAATTTTCATAGTGGACTGTACTATACGATAAACATGTCAGTCAATTTGACAATCTTTGTCGGAAACATTATTCAATGAAAATATTGTCAGAACCCTTGGTATTTCTCTTCGACAAATACATTAACACATTGTGAACCACTTTTCTTTCACGACTATAAAAATATTTTAGCAATTTAATTCACAAAATCAATTGCACACATTTAAAATTACGTTTGTTTACACTTTGACAGCAATAGACTGACATGCAAGGTGACAAGTTAATGAAGTTTTCAGTAACTGTTGCCATTAAAAGAAATTAGTACCATTAGTTTTCCGCAACATGGCGAGGGTTTTTATGTTCCTGGTCAGGCTATACAATATTTTTTGTAAAATAGAATAG